ATTGAGCCTAAAACCTGCTTCTGGACATTCTCGCTTCCTTCTCAGCATTTCTTACCACTCACTCGATTGGCCATCTGTCCTCTTCTGTCTTCCTCTCCTGCCCCTTCATGACTTCAGCAGAGCAAGGTGACCTCAAGCTGTGTAAGGCCAGCCTTGAGGCTCTTGTGTAAAAGTTCATTTAGTATAAAGCATCCTTCGGGGAGCAGTCCTATAGCCTTTCAGAAAGACCCCTTGATATCCGGAGCCCCGAATAGCAAGGACCACTGCTGCCAACAACCTGCAGTTGGGAGCCACTGATGGGGCACCTTTCCTCAAAGAACCTTTTCCAACCAACCAACCAACTGAAGACACGGAATTTCCCAAAGGCCCAGCTCCCTCTGCTATTGTAACGGGAGCTCACTTCGCTCACGGCCCACTCTGCTGATTATGCAGTGTTGACGGGGTTGCTGCGAAGCAGTTGGTGGCTTATTCTTGGGCTGTTTTTATATTTAACCCCTTTATTGGCATCGATGTTGCCTCCGATTGTAGCAGTAACACTGGTGGTACAGTGGCAAGCTGGCTGTTGGTTGTCATTCAGTGCTATTTGCACCTCTGCCTCCCCCCCCCCCCCACCAGCTCCGCTCCTTCCTTCCTCCTCCTCTTTCCCATAATTCCACGGGCACCTTCTTGGTGTGTTCAGAGGGGCAACCCGGTGCTCACCCCACAGTAATTTGTCTGTGTCCTGCTTGGCTCTCTTCCTTCCATCCCTTTTCATGAAATCTGTGGGGAAGGGGTATTCCCTTTGATGGGCATTGAAAAGACCTGAGAGAAACACAAACCCTCCGCCCCTCCAGAACTAGCCATTTGCCCTCCCATCAGAGTGGGACTGGAGCATTTGGGCCACAGAGCCCTTGCCAAACCTGGACAGATTTACTGCTCCCTTTAGTCCAGGGTGTCATTGTTCACTGGGCCCAGAGTCCAAAGGGAAGTTTGTATGTTGTTACCTGCCTGTTGCACAGGCAAGAGGAGCCCCTGAAGTCGCCAGTAAGATAGGAAGGTGGGGCAGGCCGTCTCAGGTAAGGTGTGGGCAGAATATGAACTCTCTTCTTGCCAGGACATGGGGAAGAATATGAACTCTCTTCTTGCCAGGACATGGGGGAAATGCCCTGAAAATCTCTCCCAGCAGATAGGACTGAAGGCCCCAAATGACATCAAATAACATCTGAGATTCAGCCTGTTTGACATGGAGGCCCAGAGTAAGTGACCACGAGACAGGATTACAGAGCGGCCCCTTGTGGTCTTAGGGGAGTGATTATGTATCTTAAAACCATTATCAACCTTTTTTTTTTTTTAATGGCAAATTTTTGTGATCCCTTAAAGATTTTTGATAATGTTTTAGTTATCCCTTGCTGGAATAAAAGAACTCATTGCTTTTATAGCTGGATTCTTAGTGGCAGCTATAATTAGGGCGAGCCTATTTTGAGGAATCTCCTATTACAGGCAGCTCAGTGAGGTTCCATTCAGTACAGATCATACAGAAGAACCCTAAGGCTCCTGGTATCTCCAGAAGTAGACCAGAAAGTCCAGGAAATAACAGGCCAAGACTCCCGTAATTCACTAAAGGGGAATTGCAAAAAAGTCCTCCAAGACCACGACCTTTATGTGTCTACCACCACATGTTTGCTGACAGCTCATCCTGGTCTGTTTCTCTGGATAGCTCGCTACAGCTTCACACCGCAGAGGGAGGAAGATAAGATCTGCCGCAGGACTCTGAATTCTCCTAGACGTGAATGTGAGGTGTCCTGCCAGTGCCGAAAGGCGATTCCACAGTTGGAGTGCAGACTGGGAGCCTGAGGTGCAGCATCCGGGACTGACCGGCTCCTGTGTGCCGTGTGAAGCTGGCTGACCTCATGAGTAGGGGGCTGCATGCCTCTGCTGCTCCCCCACAGACTCCTCCCGTTAGCAGAACCCAGGCACTGTGCCTGGCAGAGAAGTGACAACCTTCAGAGGATGGCTGAGGGGAGGGATCGCTAGAACCAAACACTCATATGCGGAATGGATTTCTTTTACAGTGGACCGCACTGCCGACATATTAGGAGGCAGCTCAATCAGGACTAAATTTCTTTTTCTTTTTCATCTGTAATCACACACTTAAGAGCAAATCAACAAATCAGAGCTTTGTAGTCTGATGTGGGCCTACATTCACATCTCAGCTCGGGTGCCCCCGGGACCTTGAGTGTGCCCAGCGCCCTCACCTGTAAAGTAGAGGTAGTACCTCCTTTCATAGAGCTGTGGGGAGGCTGACGCTAGCTTAGAGCAGGAGCTGCTCATGTGGCTGTTCATAGTAATAGGCACATGTTTACATCCCCATGCAAACACGTTGTACCCATGGATGAGTAGTCGTGCAGTTCTCACATGGACTAGTTGGCTTGCAAATGAGCCATTTTGGGCACCCGGGCCTCATTGTCATTATAAGCACATGAAAATTGGGGAATGGTAGTTCTTTTCAGCCTGAAACCTAGTTGAGCCCACCGCTCACAAGGCCTCCATTTGGATCTCAGCAGCACAGCACTCACCTGTCCCACTTGCTTCTTGTTTTCTCTGTAATAAAGAGCCAGAGCGACAGCCCATCCAGCCCCGAGGCCCAACCAGAGTTCATATCACAGCTCAGGACAGAGCTGCAGTTTTCAGTCCAGGGGGACACTCTTTCACTCTGAGCCTCATTCTCATTCAAGATGACCAATTAAATGGACTGTGGGTGTGTCAGTCCTGGCATTTTTAACCCACCCCTGGGACCTTGAATGAAAACCACAGTAAAAATGGGCGTTCCCCTACTCTAGCAAACCATCCCTTGCTGTCCACTGTCACTGCAGGTTAGACACAGACTACATTGCCTTCCCTAAAACGATGTCCCTGTGAGGGCATGTGTTTAGTGCTTGTGTGATGGCCTGCATCTTGTGTGGGCTAATGCTGCCTGGCTCCAGCCCATTCTGACAGATTGCTGGCTCTCTAACAGGCCCTCCCCTCCCTGGTACCCGTGTCAGTCTGTTTGATGTCGAGAAGGGTAGTGTTTTTATGAGTCTGCACATAATTCTTAAGAAAACAACCAGGGCAAGCAGACGATTGCAGGGCTACCTCTAGTAATAAGTGGGGTTCCTTTTGTCTTGAAGACTAGTAGTGCCTTGTGTATGGATAACCCAGTAAGTGATGATTGAGCTGCTAATGGAAGGTAGATGGGTCCCCGTTCCCAACAGGTGGTAAAATGGGTTACACGGTTGGGCTACTAACGACAGGTCAGCTGTTTGAAACTACCAGCCACTCCTGCGAGAAAGACAGGCTTTTGCTGTAAAGAGACACTCTTGGAAACTCACAGGGCCAGTTCTACTCTGCTTTGTAGTCGCTATGAGTCAGAATAGATTCAAGGGCAGTCAGTGATCGAGTGAGTATGAGTACATGTATTTACAAATCACGATAAATAACACACAGATCTTTCCCGTAAGCCATTTAATTCGCCTGCCCACCAGGAACTAAGTCCAGCTCTCCAGAGGTAGTTTCACCCCATGTTGTTGTTAGGGGTTGGAAGGTGGTTCCGACTCCGGGGGACTCTGCACAGCAGAATGACACGGTATACCTGGTCCTGGCCCTGCGCCATCCTCACTCAGTCCTCTGTTGGATGGTTCTATGTTAGGTGGTGTTCCGTGACACTTCACAATCCTAGGGGAGGTTTTGTGCATTGGGACACTTTGGGGATTCAGTTGGGACATTAGTGGTCAGAAATAGGTAAATTTAGGCCACAACTAATGCAGGGAAGAGTGATATATAGGAGTCACTTGTAGAAAGTGAATTTATTTGTGTGCCGTCTACTTAGTGATCTACCGTAATCTAAAACCCTGCGCTTTTTTTGGCATTCATAGCCATTAATATCTTTGAAAGTCCCCCTTTCCAGTTTAGACAGTCCTGTCCTCCCACAGCTCTCTCCACTGTACCCTCATTAACCTTGTGAGATTCACAACGGCAGGGATTGTCGCCAGCCACAGCCTAGAGAGGTGAGAAGACAGCGTGACACAGGAATGCATCCATAGCAAACTGCCAGCTCGTCCAGCTCCGTGTGGAGCCAGCTCTCCAGGCCCTTTCTCCGGTTCCCTTTGCCTCCTTTGTCAAGAGATAGGTCCACGTCTCTGCTCAGTTGCCTCACTGATGGGCCGCCTCCTGAAGTTCTGGCAACACAATACGACAGGATATTGTTCTCCTGGCTTCTTGTCACTTTGGAAGGTCCTTCTAGGGAGCTATGTGCTAATAATTCCCATCCTCTGGGACATCTTCCATCTCACACCCGCAGGTTCCTCGATAGCCGTGTGTAGGTAGGCTCAGGTAGGTGGGCAGTGCTCATGGTCCTCCACAGTTTTAACCTGAGCCCTTCTGCCAAGTGTTTTTGGCATTCTTAAGCAATTGCTTTTGGAAACTCTGAAAGTCATAGAAGAAAAGGTCATTTCTCTGTGGGCTACGCTTTTCCCCGCCTTACTACCATGGATTACGGTTTGCGGAACCCACACTGTTGTGTCTGAGTTAAATTTTCACCCACCAAGCCCCTATCTAAAGAAACTGAGAAGGAAGAAAAAAACGTTGACTGATTTCAATCACAAATTGTGAACCTAGCGCTTAACCCAACCTTCAACATTGCTTTTCTCTCACGTTTCTGTGGTCTTTACTAACTTGTTTAGCTGCTGGGGTTTTTGTTGTTGTTTTTAATTCTCGATTCCTGGACCTATCTCCGAGCACCCGCAGAATGTACATTGCTCTGCACTGGGTTCTTCTCGCCTGCTAGGGTTTTGGACTAAGAGCTCCAAAGGATGCCCTCTGTCATCCTTCTATTTCCTACAGATGCTGATTCGTGTAATTGTGGGCATGACGTGATCATGTAAAGCCTCTGCCAATTGCCAATGACCCAGTTCTGATGTGCTGTGCAACTGTGCATCTCCAGTGTCCGAGTCTCTGTTGCTGACACCCTGTTGTCTCCCCAGAAATCGAGGAGATGGAAAAGTAAGCGCGAGGGATCGGACTCTGGCAACCGGCCAATCAAAGCGGCTGGAAAAGTGATCATCCAAGACATCGCATGCCTTCTCCCTGTCCACAAGTCCTTGGGAGAACTGTACATGTAAGTGCGCGTTTCTAAGGGTGCGGTGCTTTCAGCAGAATCGCGATTAAGTAGGAGAGCTGCTCAGCGTAGTTTTCAGAGCAGCCCAGCGTATTCATTTTCTGTTGGTGCGTCAGCAGTGACTGCAACCTCAGTGGCTTGCGGCAGTGTACATTTCCTACCCAGTTTCCCTGGGGCAGGTGTCAGGGCCGGAGTGAGCAGGGTCTCACCAGGCTGAAATTGTGGTGCTGGTTGGAGGAGGAGGTGTGTGTGTGTGTGTGTGTGTGTGTGTGTGTGTGCGCGCGCACGTGCGTGCTTCTAGTGCTTAGGTCTCCTCCCCAGCTCTCTCATGTTGTTAACCCCATGAGTCCCTTGGGGCTCTACAGCTCATGAAGAATTTTACCTTCTGCGAGGCTGTCAGTGATCCTTCACCTTCTGTCTGAAGACTCACTTGGCTGGGGTAGGTCCACCTAGGATCACCATCTCCCTGCTGATCAATTTAAAGTCAACTGACTGATTGATGGTTCTAGGAATAATAATTATCCCATCCCATCCCTGGTCTTGCCTGCACTCAAAGAGAAGAGATTATTCAAGGGGTATCTGCCAGGGAACAGGCATCTCGGGGCTTCTTAGAATTGTGCTTTTCACATACCCCCTGTGTTAAAAAGATAGAACCTCATTTGGAAGGAGTCAGTAGTGTGGGTGATAGGTATTGGAGGCCAACCTGTGGACTCTCACTCCTTCCTACCCTTGAACACATGATGAGAAAAATTTATTTATTTATTTATATTTATTTGTTTCTTTACCATATATACTTGAGGATAAGTTGACCCAAATATTAGCTGAAGCAGCTAATTAAAAAAAAATACTTTTATTGGGGGCTCTTAACATCTCTTATCATAATCCATACATTCCTCCAATGTGTCCAGCACATTTGCACATTTGTGCCATTATCATTTTCAAAGCATTCTCTTCCCACTTGAGCCCCCGATATCAGCTCCCCATTTCTTCCCCCTCTTTTCTCCATCCCTCCTCCATCTGCCCTCCCTCATGAACCCTTGATAAATTACAGATGATTATTTTCATATCTTACATCGACCTCCGTCGCCCCTCACCCACTTTTCTGTTGTTCGTCCCCCTGGGAGGGGATTCTAGATTGATCCGTGTGATCAATTCCCCCTTTCTTCCCCCACCCTCCCCTAATCCTCCTGGTATCTCTACTTTCCTTGTTGGCCCTGAGGGGTTTATCTATCCTGGATTCCCTGTGTTGTGGGCTCTTATCTGTAGCAGTGTGCATGCTCTAGTCTAATCTGATTTGTAAGGCTGAACTGAGGTCATGATAGTGGGGTGAAGGAAACACTAAAGAGCTAGAGGAAAGTTGTGTGTTTCATCAGTGCTATGCTGCACCCTGACTGGCACATCTCTTCCCTGTGACCCCTCTGTGAGGGGATGTCCAGTTGTCTACGGATGGGCATTGGGTCTCCACTCCATGCCTTCCCACCCCATTCACCTTGGTTATGGTTTTATTCTGGGTCTTAGATGCCTGATACCTGGTCCCATCGACACCTCATGATCACACAGGCTGGTGTGCTTCTTCCATGTGGCCTTTGTTGCTTCTGAGCTAGATGGCCGCTTGTTTATCTTCAAGCCTTTAAGACCCCAGATGCTATATCTTTTGGTAGCTGGGCACCATCAGCTTTCTTCACCGCATTCGCTTATGCACCCATTTTGTCTTCAGCGATTGTGTCGGGAAGGTGAGCATCACAGAATGCCAGATTGTTAGAACAGTGTTCTTATGTTGAGTGGGTACTTGAGTTGAGGTCCAGTGTCCATCTGCAACCTCAATTTTTAACATATAGATAAGAGTACATAGTTCTATTCCCCTCTCATTATAAATATATCTACATATGTTCATGCCTGTATTTAGGCTTCTATAAATGTCCTTTGCCTCCTGGTTCTTTCCTCTACTTCCTTTTTACTTCCCTCTTGTCCCACCATCATGTTTGGCCTTCTTTTGGGTTTAGTAATTCCTCGCTGCTACATTGCCCTTGATTGAGCCCCACTAGGTGTCCTATGACCTTCCTTCCGTTGATTTTAGTTCACTTGTTGTTCCTTTGTCCCTGGTTGGTCCCCCCACCCCCACCCCACACACACACTTCTTTTCTCCCACCTCCCCTTCTCCCATATCCCCCAGAACCACTGGTCCCATTGTTTTCATCTCTGAATTACTTATCCCGCCTATCTTATGTAGATAGACATGCAGATACATTAATAAGTGCCAAAACCAGGCAAAGCCAAATAAAACAATGAAGTCAAAACCAACAAAGTAATAACAACAGCAGACAGCAAGAACAAATTAACAATAACAAAAAGAAAGCCACTGACAGAAATGGAAAATCCTGTAAGTAGTTCAAGGTCTGTTTGTTGGCCTTTACGAGTGTTTTCCAGTCGAGTCTGATCGGGTGCCACACTGTCTCCCAAGTCTATTTTTGGTATTCCCCGGGAGTTTCGTCACTGTTTCCCCTGCTGCTCTGCTGCGTGTCCTCGGTGCCTCGGCCAGTGTGATGGGGCCAGACCGGAGGCACCTAATGTTACCACAAAAACCGCATAGAAAATGTACTGAAAAACTTGGCTTATACATGAGTATATACGGTATTTATTTCATTTAGAAATTTAATTTATCTGATTATGATCGAGGGAGTTTACATTTTATTTGATTACAACCAAGGATGATTATGATTTTTTTAAAAACATCATTTTATTGGGGAGGCTCTTACAGCTCTTATCACAATCTATACATACATCCATTGTGTCAAGCACATTTGTACATATGTTGCCGTCATCATTTTCAAAACATTTTTTTCTACTTTAGCCCGTGATATCAGCTCTGCTTCCGCCCCCCCCCCCACTCCCCGCCCTCCTTCCCTCATGAACCCTTTTTCATGTCTTAATGGTCAGGAGACCGACCACTGTTGAATGCTCACTGCAAGGGGCTTATATGTATATCATTGTGATTGGTTCTCCCCTTTTACCCCCCACCTTCTCCTTCCCCACTGAAAAGTTTTTATTTTGTAGTGTAGATGCTACTCTGTGTTCGAAACCAAAGTCAGTGTTGCAGATGTTGAAATCCCTTTCCAGTTGACCCCCAAGCTTTGGGAATGCCCAGCAAAAGCTGTCTGGGAGATCAGTATTTGAGGACTACTTGGTCTCCCGACGTCAGAAGGCTGAGCAAGTTTACGTTGAGCAGGCCTGTTCCCCCAGCATGACATCAGCTCTCAGTGAGTGTTTCTCCGTGTCAGGTAGACAAGGAGCTTCAGAGTGACAAGAGGCTGTTACTGGTCTGTTTGTTAGGAAGCTAGACTAGAAAGATGCTTTTCTTCCCCTCCTCTCCCTACAGATTAAATGTGAATGATATTCAGGAAACGTGTCAGAAGAATGCTGCTTCAGCCTTGCTCGTTGGGAGAAAGGACCTCGTCCAGGTAGGGTTCTGGATCATTGCACCAGTTTTCCCACCCTGGGGTGTGTTTCTTCTGCTGCTTACTTGGAAAAGCCTTAAAGCACTTAGCGCCTAGTCCGTTTCTTTTGTATTGCAGTACCATGATCGTCACCTACCTAAATTTGGTGAGGTACATCTTTGCCCTTTGTACCCTTGATTCGTTTGCATTTTCATTTTTTTCCCTCTTTTAAACATGCTTCTTTACCTAAAAGATTGGCTAAAGTGTTCTTTGACATGGAGAGTCGTTGCACGTTTAACTTATGACTTAATTTTAACAAAAGACGAGTGTGTTAAAGCAGGCTGAGCATTTGTTGCTGTTATAACAGCTTTATCGCAACATTCATAGCTCATCCAGTTAACGCATCCGAAATGTGCACCTCAGCGGCTTATAGTATATTTAGAGTTTTGTAATCGTCAGTCACCACAGGCAATTTTAGAATGCTTTTCATCACCCTAAGAAGATAGCCTCCTTGGGAAGATGGTGTCCACTCCCTGCTTCATCCAACAGCTGCAGAACTGGACATCAGAGAAGACCTGCAGGTGAAACTGCAGCCACTCTGCCAGGAGGCCTCCAGGGACCTGGGGCTCAGCCACAAGTTCACCAGCAGTTACCATTGCACTGTTGGCTACTGGGAAGCCGTCCCCCTCGGTTGTCATGTTCTCCTAGAAAGTGCTGGTGTCAGGCAAGCCAGCAGGGAACTCAGTGGCAGCCCCTGGGAAGGTGGTGGGAACTGTCCCAGGACCAGCTCTACCTTTGACCTTGTACCCGGGTAGGCAGGGTAGCAGGACCCCTGAGTGTTGCTTGGCCTCCTGGAATCCCCTCTGGGGGGAATGTGACCTTCATATATGATCGCTTACAAAAAAAGAAAAAGAGAAGCCATCACACCTTCTTCCCTCACTACCATTTGCAGCTCAAGACTAACCTACGTTGTCTCTCCTTGCACGAGGGTTAGATGGAGCCATGGGGACCACTAGCTGGTCTGTCGGCTGTTTCCCCTTAAAGTCTTCTCAGTGAGCCTTCTCTCGACTCTTATCTGACAAAAAGTGCCCTACAGTTCCTCGTTGGCTCATAGTAAACACTGTTAAGGCTCTGCCCCAAACCCCTCTGGGAGAACTGTCGAGTCTTGCATCTAATCTTGTTCTAAAAGAATCTGCCTGCTAAAGTTCAGTGAGCACGGAGGAGGCAGCATCGTGAGATAGCAGAAATCACACAGAACTTTTAGTTCAACTATAAACAGTTGAACAATCATAGTTCAACTGTGCCGCCTAGAGGTAAAGCCTTAGGCAAGTTATGTGACACTCTCTCGGCCTCTCTATGTAAAATGAGAGCTGTCAGAATAATTCATTACCTTGTGAAGATGGTAAGACGGTAAATGCAAAATGAAGGTAGGCTTGGTTTGTGGTCTGAAAGCATAATCTGTGAGGAAAACACTCTTTCCTAGAAGTGTTGTTTTTTTACGCTTCCCGTACTTTTCTGGGAGAGAGCATTTGGAAGGTCACTCAAGCTCGAATTAATTGGAAAGACGTTTGCATCCAGACAGACCTGAGTTGGAATATGGGTACTGTCACTTTTTGGATGTGTGATTTAGACAGATTACCTAATCTTTCTGAACTTTCCGTTTCTTCCATTGTAAAGTGGGAGCAGTACTTTCCAGGTCACTCTGAGAATGCAGTGAGTAAATCTATGAAGTTCCCGTACCCGTGCCTGATAGATCGTAATGCCCGGGCTATGAGGGATCTAGTAGTGACTGCTGTTCTTGTCCTTATCTTCAGCATTTATGTCACGGTACCGTTTAATGGGATGGAGAAATGACACCAGTGCCATTACCTAGGGAATTGTTCTTTATTCACGTGTTCAAGACAGCATGTGTGCTATTTTGCAAAATTATAGAAATAACTCTAAGTGTCATCCTTTCTGTTGAAGAAATAGCGAGGTGAAGTCACGTGTAGGATTTTCAGTCAGGGCAGCAAACATCCTGATCCAGAAAGCCATTCGGAGAGCTGTGAATGATGAGGACAAATGCAAACCCCAAGTGTCTTGCACGTGGTTAACCAGAATGTGTGTGCGATTTGTTCCACATGATTTAATGGACCTTATACGGCTGCTAGGTGTCTCTACTCGTTTTTGTTTGTTTGTTTGTTTCTCAGTGTTTTTGTTCTTCAGTTATAAGCATCCTCCAGTCTAGCTTCTCACAGTCTCGTCTTGATGTTTTTCAGTTAGTGGACAAACAGTGCCGTTCAGGAAAGTGTTTCTGAGATTAATGTCAGCGTTTGGAAGCATTCAAGAGGCAGGGTTTCTTCATAGCACGGTGCTTTGAGCAGTGCGTCTAGGATTTAGTGGACACTGAAGGACGTGTGCTGCCCAGGAGATCCCCAGTGTGGAGGCCTTTCCCAGATGGGGGTCCACAAAGAGGAAGCCAGGACTGTGTCGTCGTCGTGGCCCATTTGTCTTAAGCGTCCAAGAGCGTGTGGAAGCTTTCTTAACGGAGGCAGCACCGTTCTTCCTTATCTGAGTGAAGGGACACAGGTCTGAAAAGCAGAGCAAGTCACGCGAGTGTCCTGGCTCCCTTAATGACCCGTTGAAGTCACTGCACTCTGTTGTTTCCCCAAAGTCTGCGGAATATGAAGAGTTGTTTAGGCCTACTGTGTCTCAGACAAATTCCCTGAAGATCTTGTTAAAATGCCCCGTGTGATTCGGTGGGTCTGGCGTGGGGTTGACAATTGTGCATTTCCTTAAACTCCCAGCCGTGGACCCTCAGAATCATAAGGCGTGGGGCCACATCTGAGGAAGGGTGGGCTTCTACTCTGATTTCTGGTCCTCTCATCCCTCTGGGTCTGAGTTTCCATGTTTCTCTCTGGTCTCTCCAGGTGTGGTCGCTGGCTACAGTAGCTACAGATCTTTGCCTCGGTCCGAAGTCTGACCCAGACCTGGAAACACCCTGGGCCCGACATCCGTTTGGGCGACAGCTGCTGGAGGCCCTGTAGGTTCTGAGAGCTAAATGAGTACCGTACACTTTAGGTTCCTAAACGTTTTACTGCTGCTGTCTACATGAAAGGCAGCGGCCTTAGGCTCAAGAGGAAGAAGGAACTGTGTATTTGTTGTGTATAACAAGGTTTTTCTTTCCGGGTACCATAGATTTTAGCATCATAACATGTTAGAGAATCGCGTTTTGGTCTTTCCCATTTCCACAAAGCCACGACACTTTTCATCCTGTTAGGCAGTTTATGCCATTTACAGGTCAGTTTTGCCAGTCCGCTCAAAACACTGAATTTGTGTTCAGTTTATTACACCAAAATGTGTATACTAGAAATGTCAAATACAAAATAATGTACTCCTAAACCTCCCTCATCGTGAGGCCCAGCTCCTACACAGAGGACCACTACCCCATCACATTAAAGAGCCTTGACTTAGTTGTTGAGGCCAGATGTGGGGTAAGTGTGCATGCTTCAGCTGTCTTATTGTAGTGCTCTCTTCTGAGCACCGTGAGCCTGAAAGGAACACGGGATATGAGTACCTAAAAAGTAAAAATGTTCTTCTTTAATGGCTTAGATTCATTATTCTCTGATCTGCTGGCCACCTGCCATACATTGATGGTACGGTGTGCTCTGACCACCTTCACATAGCTGGAGGTTCTAAGAAGCAAAGCTATAGCGAAATCCTCCCCTCCCCCAACTTCCTTGCAGTACTAAAAAAAAGGATGTATGGGATCACTCACTCATGACATTAAAGCTCAACTGCCATCCAGTTGATTCTGAGTCATAGCGACCCTACAAAGGGTTCCTGAGGCTGTAAATCTTTAAGGAAGCAAGAGAGCCTCATCTTTTTCTCATGGAGTAGTTGGTGGGTTTGAACCATCAACCTTGTGCTTACCCAGTGATACCACCAGGGCTCCTGGCACGTGTTTAATTTGTCAACATAGTTCTTGGGACAGTGACATTATCGTTTGAGCCTATGTTTTGTGTCAGTAGAAGCTTTTGGATTGACCCTTTGGGATACTCTGATAGGTATTATTACGAAATAAGTTTTGCCAAACCACTTGGTCTATGGAAAGCCCCAGTTCCCAATAGAGTTTTTTGAGGCAGGAATAAAAATATTTCCTCCTTACCTATGGCAACAACCATATTGTGGTTTTCCTCCTATAATCCCTAATCGTGACTTGTTTTCTTTGCTCTCATCTTTTCCCCCAGGTTGGCCCACTACTGCCAGCTTCGGGATGTTCAGACGTTGGCTATGCTGTGCAGTGTCTTTGAAGCCCAGTCTAGGCCTCAGGGGACACCAAACCCCTTTGGACCTTTTCCCAATCGCTCTTCCAATCTTGTGGTGTCCCATAGTCGATATGTAAGTGTGTGGTTTCGTGGTCTGCGCCTATTCTTGGATGTAAACTTCCATGTCGGATGGTATTTTAATGTTCCTCCTCTTTGTTCTTCTCTTCCCACCGTATAGCCTAGCTTCACCTCCTCTGGTTCCTGCTCAAGTATGTCAGACCCAGGGCTCAACACTGGTGGCTGGAACATAGGTTGGTATGGAAACAGCTTCCACAGTGCCAGGTTTTCAGTTCAGTAACAACTGGGCCTATTGTCAGTATTGACCTGTTGTAGATAGACCTTCTCCATGTTATTCCTTGTTTCTCTTTGTAAGAAAATAAATGTTTTTCCCTGAAGATGGTGATACTATTGCCAGCAAGGCCTGGACTTTCGTATTTGAACAGACCAGTTTTTTGTGTCTCACTGGGTTTCTTTTCATCTCACTAACATTGGAACTTGCCCGTTTGCCCTTGAAACTCAACTTGACCTTTATTCCTGTTCCCTCACAACCCCTTCTGTGATCATCCGCCCTTCCTATCATCCGCCTTGTCCCCGGAAGGAAAAAAGGCTGGGCGTAACTCCAGCTGCTTATAAACATTTGTCTCAGAAATAGGTGGATTTCTGTTTTTTGGTTTTTTAGAAAAACGCTTTGTTTGTTTTTTAATTACAAATATCCTCTTTGTCTTTTTGTGTGTGCATATGATGTGTCCATGTAAATACTGCCCACACACATAAAGTACTCATAGCGTGCACAGGGAATTAACTCCTGAGGGAGTTGCACTGTCTGCAGAAAACCATTATTTGTGTTAAAATAGAGTAATGCATCCTAGTGAAGAGAAAATATTAGAGAAGAAGATAATAATCATTGGTAATTTTCTCACCTAAAAATACATGTTAACATTTTGGAACATTTTCTTCCAATCTTGTGTGTAAGAGGGCCAGGGGAGGTTGTTCTTTGGAGGGTGCTGGTGGAGGGGGTAGTTTCTTCCAATCTTTGTGTGTAGGGGGGCCAGGGGGTAAGGTCATTCTTTGGGGGGGTGGTCGGGGTACGGTTATTTTTCCCCAATCTGTGTGTAGGCGGATCCAGAGGGGGTGTCCAGCAATGATGTGTTCTGTGTTTGTATTTTATCACGTGCATTTTCTCAAACCATTTAAATGCCTTTATAAATAATGACCACATAATATACCACTGTGTTGATAATACCATAATTTGCTTAGTCAGTGTGTGTAATTAGTGATAAATTTATGTCAACCAGTACTTAGACAACCAAATAGTCAGGCTAGGGGAGGGTTCTCTTGAGTTAGGGTTCTCGGAGTTTTCCACCTACTTGATTTCTCCTGTCAGGAAATAAAGTGGGGCCATTGCATGCAGAAAGCACCTTCAGCTATTTCATGTGCTCTGTCTGATTTGCGTCTTTCATCTCCTTTTGTTTTCTTCCAAGCGGGGAGAGAGGCAGAACATTTGTCCTCGCCTTGGGGAGAGTCTTCTCCAGAGGAAATCCGCTTTGGGAGCCTGACCTACAGCGATCCTCGCGAGCGAGAGCGAGACCAGCATGACAGAAACAAAAGGTGAGCCGACCCTTCCCCAGCGCACGCAGGCTGCCGTCTCCTAACTCTCCATGTCTCCAGAAGGACACCTGCTTTTACAAAGGTGTGTTGAATGTCACCTGTGTTTGGGCTGCTGACGGTGAGGTCACTGGTCAAACCCACTAGCCATTCTGTGGGACAAAGATGATGCCGCCTGTTCCGATAAAGATTTACAGTCTCAGTAGCCGCATGCAGGGTTGCTCTGAGTTGGGATGAACTCATTGACAGTGAGTTTGGTTTTTGTTGAAAAGAAGTGACAGAAATTTAAAAATTCTCTCTAGACTACTGGACCCTGCCAATACCCAGCAATTTGATGACTTTAAGAAATGCTATGGGGAAATCCTCTACCGCTGGGGTCTGAGAGAGAAACGTGCTGAAGTCCTGAAGTTTGTTTCCTGTCCCCCTGACCCTCACAAAGGAATCGGTAAATATGAGATTCTCCCTTTTCCTCTCCCTCTCTGAGAGCTCCTCAGGCTTTGTTTGTCCACAGCAGATCTGAAACAAGATGCTCACTTCGCATTTTTTAAACAGAAATGACATAAACATTTTGAACTTGTTCTAAGCGTCTGGAAATCCTTGTGTTTATAACAAGGTTGAATTTGTTTTGTGACAGAGGTTGTTTCATATGCTAAAATCTCAGATATTGATTGGTAGCAAGAACATTTATTCTTTTATCTCATTAACAGTATATCATGCTCCTCTTAGGCACTAGGTACAGCGCTAGCCTGTTTTTTTCTTCCCTCCTTATTGAACTCGGTTTATTAGAGGAGGAAAATTAAATAATGTATTAGATTTAACTATTAGTAAATAAAAAGGATGTTGGGGCAGGACTAGTAGAGACATGTTCAGCTGTCTCGGAAAGGCCTCTCTCAGGAGGGGCGGCTGCAGCTGAGGATGAAGGGTGAGGAGAAGCCGTCATGCAGACCACCCGCCAGAGAGTTTGTCCTGCTGCTGCACCTTGTATTTTGCTGTGATGCTGGCGGCTCTGGAACCTGCATTTCAAATGACAGCAGCGTCACCAATGGCAAGCGTGATTTATTAGCTTTCAGACTAAAGCAGTCTAGGGAAAAAGGTTTGTCATTCTACTTCCAAAAAGTAGCCAGTGAAACCAGAGAACATGGTCGGGGTAGCATGCTGAAGATGAGCCACGGACAAGCACTCAAAATGCACAGCTGATGCAGTAATGGACCCAGCAGCCCATCGATCATGAAGATGGCCCTGGACGAGCGGCCATCGGGAGTTGGAGCCAGTTCAACGACCGCTCGCACAGACAGCCAGCAGAAAGTAGGTGTTTGCTCTCCAGAGAAGACCAGTGCACGTTCAGATGAGGAAGGCCCATCAAGAACCTCGCATAACCAAGAGAGGGCTCCCATCCCGAGGGGATCCTAGACTTCTAGGGAATAAAACAGATCACTTTCTAATGATGAAGACTATGAATGGCATTGCACTTCTTAGGAGCAATACTGGATACTGGATGGCAGCTTTAAGGCAGTTTTAAAGGCAACATTGCCTTTAAAATCCTCAAGAGAACTTTATGTAACTTAAAACTCTGTATCCAGCTTGTCAAGTGTGAAAGTAAACCTCACCCTCTACGACTCCCCACAGTTCTGAAAGGCATGTTGAAGGTCCAGAATAGAGTGAGAGAAAACTGGGGGACAAATATGAGGATCCTGGGAGATCCTAGACTTACTGGTCAGATAGAGATTGGTGGGACCCTCTGAGACTATGGCCCTTAGTCCCCCTTCAGACCTGAAAATGAACTTAGCCCCTTGGCTCCATTTTCAGTTGAATAACATCTATAAGGGGAGCAATAACACAAGTGAGGCACACACACCTTGGTTTTGTCAGACGTCTGGAATCAAAGGGACATTTGCCCAAGGACAAGATCCAGAATGGTCAGGAAAGAAGGGGGAATAGAAGCAGAAACAAAGGGAAGACATTGGATAAGTCGTGTTCCACTGATGAGATTAGAGTGAATGAGATGAAACAAGATGTGTATGAATTGTTGAATGGAAAACCGATGTTCTGACTTGTGAACATTCACACAATTTACAATAAAAAGGTCTTAAAAAATTAATATACCCATGAGTCATACAGAGTCAATTTAGTCCTCCTTACTCACTGGGAACATTTATTCTCTGCCCCAGACAGGTACAACGTGGCATTACATTGCTGAATGTTCTAATACAGAAGCTTCTAGCCACTGAAAGCTTTAGTGTATGTTGTGGATTAAGCTGTGTGCCCATAAAACATATATTCATTTGACTAGGCCATGATTCTCATTATGATGTTATTCCCCCATTTGGTGATCTGATATAATTATTATGTATGCTATAATTCCTCACCTGTATGATGTTAAAGAGGTAGGTTTTGAGGCAGTTATATTAATGAGGCAAGATAAAATCTGTAGAATTAGATTATTTCTCTGTTAATCTTTTTTGAGATACAAAAGAGTAAATAAAGGAGCAGAGATCTGGGTGACCTGCTGCCACCACAAAGAAGGGCTGGGACTAGAGCACATCATCTGGACGGAGGGTCCCTGTGCTGGGAACCTCTTAGATCCAGAGCAAGACTGATGTCAAGATGCATGGAGATCTCTAAGGAATGACAAACCCGTAAGTGTGGAAATCAGGAGCAACTGCTCTCAATTTAAATTTCTAAATAACTAAATGCAGGAGAATGCATTTCTGTTTGTTAAAACCAGAAAAAGAAAGTAAACCTTCACCCTGTCCAAGAAGGATAACATTTGAGCCAGGATGTAAGGGAATTGGCGTGATGGTAAAGGGAACTTTATATGACAGTTGTAGAGACAGACTATTTAGATTGCTATACTCAGAAAGGCATCAGGAGAATTGTCTTCAAGAAAAGAAAAAAAATCGAGTGCCTTCTGGTCAGAGGTAGATTACCCAGTGTGCTAGGTAGCTGCAGGCTTAGAAGTACCTGTCAGGGATTGTAAATTTAGAAAGAAGCTGTGATTCTGCAGGAAGGTACTGCAAGGTTGGGGGAGCGACAGATACTGGCCACGCCTGTAAACAGAGTCTTTGATGTGGTAAAAAGAATGTGAAACTGTCCACTCCGATAAGCAAGCAAGCAAGCACAAGTAAGCCCATGCTTACCTTGCTTATTGGGTAATCTGCCCACTTTTGGTGTTCAGCATGTTAGAAAATATTCAGACATTTGAGGGAGAGTTTAGAGATGGGTTGCAGATAAGTACATAGCAAACTAAACAAATGGAACATCGTAAGATAGTTATTATCTCTTGGAAAACAAGATGTGCAAAAAAGGGAAAGTAATCAGAATCGCACCGTGTTTACTTAACATAAAAACTGAAGACGGAGCCCACCAGAATGCAAATAGAGCAAATGCATACTCATATGGGGAAGATGCAGGGACAGGTGTCTGTATGTGGGAAGAAGGTGGTTGTGGTGATGGGGAAAATGAAAGAGCATCCACGGTGGAAAGTCATTGGCGATGCGTAAATTTAAAAATTAAGAAACAGCTTTATAAACATGCTGTTTAGGGATAAGCCAAAAATGAACAAAACAGAAGAGTTGAAATGATTTCCTTTAGAGAACAATTGGGTAGGTGCTAGGGAACTCTGATTTTTGTAGACAGCTTCATGTAACTATTGACTGTAAATTATGTGTCTATGTACTTAATGAAAAATGTAAATCAGTGTATATATACACTTAGTTATTGAATAACAAAGATTATGTTAACACAGTTTTAAAAAAAGGATTCTTGTGGTATTGATGAAGAATGCAAAGAATAGAAAGTGCTATTTGGTCAGCATATTTTTTAGTGTCTTAAGAGCATGAGAGCACAGCCTAGAGCAATCTGTCTTTTAAAACTAGTTTTCAGGAAAATATATATGAATCATAGAAATATGTAACTGACATATCAATCCATCAATCAACTAAATCCTTATTTCCATCTATTATAAAGCCCTATGCTAGCTTGTGTGGGAAGGACAAAGAAATATAAAGTGCGTTTTCTTTGGTTAAGGCATTTATATTTCAATCAGAGAGTTGAAACATAAACTCACAAGAATTATATGATCTTCAATAATGAGTAATATGTCCTAATATCAATAAAAACAATATCAAAATATTTCTAAAAGGATAAGAGGTGGTGAAAGACCCACAGATAAAACATTAAGAAAAATATTTTAATTTGCTGAGCTTTACAAAGTAGTCCAGACTTTGAAAGACTTCAGTTCTCGGACACAGGACATTACCAGGTATTGAATGAAAAAGTCTACAAAGTTCCAGTTCGTCTCCTTGTGGTGGAAAGCGATCTCCCTTCTGGTTTTTGCAAGGCCATCACAAATTTAAAGAGGTTATTTTTAGTTCAGGGGTTAGTTAGTTATACAACGGATGTATGACTTTATTTTGGCAGAGAATGTGTTTAAAAATAATCCAACTGTATGTTGTTTACAAGAACTACAACTTAAACCTAAGGACACAAACAGGTTGAAGGTGAAAGGGCAGAAAAAATATTTGATAAAACCAACCAACAGAGAGTTGGAGCAGCATTCTTAACATCAGACAAAGTCGACTTTAAGACAAAGTCTTTCAGAAGATATGAAGATGAACATTATATAGTGATAAAAAGGTCAATCTGTCAACAAGCTTTAACACTCAAATATACATTTACCCAACATAAGGACACCTCAACTGAAGCTAGAATTGAAGGGTAAAATAAATAGTACTACAGTAGTAGTTAGAGAGTTTAGTATCCCACTTCTAATATTGGGTGAAACTTCAAGAAAGATCACCAACGACCCGAAGGGCATTATAAACCAAGTAGACCTAGCAGACACAGAGAACATTCCATCTGTAACCAGCACTCTATATTCTGCTCCAGTGCACGTGGCTCTTTCTCCAGGACAGACCACATTTTAAGTCACAAAGCAAGTCTTGGTAAGTTTTAAAAGGTTGAAATTATGCACATTTTCTCTGACCACAACAGAGTGAAACAGAAATCAACAGAAAAACACACAAGACACACAAACATTTGAAAATTAAACTACACACTATTAAACTACCAGTGAGTCAAGGAAGAAATCAAAGGAGAAGCCAGGGATTTCTTTAGATCCAAATGAAAAGAAAGCACAGCATGCCAAAACTGGTGGGATACTGCAAAGGGCAGTATTCCGAAGGAAACTCAGAGCAGTCAATGCCTGCTGAGAAGGGAAGAACGTTCTCAAGAGCAAACCATGACAAAGTCTGCCACAGGAGAAGAAATCGCAGGAATTTGAGAGTATTTCAGGAGGTAGCATATGATCAAGAACCAATGTTACTGAAAGAATTCCAAGCCACACCAGAGGCACGAGCGGAAAACAAGACTCCAGAAATGGACGGAATACCAATTGAAATGTTCATTAAACTGATGCAGCTCACTAGAAGGAAAGCTCAATAAACTGATGATGTTAGGTGCCATCAAGTTGGTTCCCACTCACAGTGAACCGCGTTCGACAGAATGAAACACTGCCCGCATTCAACTGATAGCACTCATGAAACTGGCAAAAGAATAAACACAGCTCTCTCGGAAGAAGTACAGCCAGAATGTTCCGTAGAGGCAAGGATGGTGAGCCTTCGTCTCACACACTTTAAACGTGTTGTCAAGAGCTGCCAGTCCCTGGTGAAGGACATTATGCTTGGTAAGGGAGAGGGGCAGTGGAAAAAACGGAAGACCTTCTACAAGGTGGATTGACACAGTGGTTGCATGTATGGGCTCAAACAACACTTGTTTTTTGTTTTGTTTTTAATCGTTTTATTAGGGACCCATACAACTCTTATCACAATCCATACATACATCAATTGTGTAAAGCACATTTATTCATTCATTGCCCTCATCATTCTCAAAACATCTGCTCTCCACTTAAGCCCCTGGCATCAGCTTCTCATTTTTTCCCCTCCCTCCTCCTTCATGAGCCCTTGATAATTTATAAATTATTATTTTGTCATATCTTGCCCTGTCCGACGTCTCCCTTCACCCACTCTTCTGTTGTCCGTCCCCCAGGGAGGAGGTCACATATAGTTCCTTGTAATCGGTTCCCCCTTTCCAACCCACCCCCCATCTACGTTCCCAGTATCGCCACTCACACCACTGGTCCTGAAGGGATCATCCGCCCTGGGTTCCCTGTGTTTCCAGTTCCTGTCTTCAAACAACACCTGTGAGAAGGGCACAGGACTGGGCAGTGTCTTGTTCTGTTGTACATTGTGTCTCCACGAGTTGGAACCAACTTGGTGGCACCGAACAACCACAGTCTCTGCCAGGAAATGTTGACGTCAACTCTCTAGCCAACCAACTGGAAGAGGTCCGATTGTACCCTTCCAAAGAAAGGTGATCCAACAGTGTGTAGAAACTATTGAACAATATCAATAATCATGTCAAAGTAAAATTTTGCTGAAGATAGTTATTAAAACAGTTATGGTAATATATCCACAGGGAGCTACAGGAATTCAAATTGGGTTCAGGCAAGGATGTGGTGTAAGAGAGATCACTGCTGACTTCTGATGGATTTGGGCTGAAAGCAGAGAATACCAGAAATATATTTACTTGTGTTCTATTGAGTATGCAAAAGCATTTGAATGTGTGCATCATAGAAAACTATGAGCTGCACTGTGAAGAACGAAAACTTCAGAACACTTCATTGTGCTCATGTGGAACCTGTGCATTTAATGAGTAAACATTAGTGAATCAATCAATGTAACACACTCTTCATTAGAACAGAGGAAAAGAAGCACATGACTATCTCTGTGGATGCAGTAAAAGCATTTAATAAAATTCACTATCCTTTTTCCCCCCATCATTTTATTGGGGGCTCCTACAGCTCTTATCACACTCCATAAATATATCCATTGTGTCAAGCACATTTGTATATATGTTGCTATCATTATTTTCAAAACATATTCTTTCTACTTGAGCCCTTGGTATCAGCTCCTCATTTATTTCCCTCCCTCATGAACCTTTGATAATTTATAAATTTTTTTTTTCATGACTTACACTGACAGCTATCTCCCTTCACCCACTTTTCTGTTGTCTGATCCCCTTGGAGGGGGTTATAGTATGTCAATCGTTGTGATCGGTTTCCCCTACTCTTCCCCTCACCCCCTTTACCCTCCTGGTATTGCTACTCATTATTGGTTCTGAGGGGTTTATCTGTCCTGGATTCCCTGTGTTTCAAGCTCTTATCTGTACCAGTGCACATGTTCTGGTCTAGCCGGATTTGTCAGGTAGAACTGGGGTCATGATAGTGGCGGGGAGGAAGCACTGAAGAACTAGAGGAACGTTGTATGTTCCACTGGTGCTGAACTGCACCTTGACTGGCTCGTCTCTTCCTATGACCCTTCCATTAGGGGATGTCCAGTTGTTTGCAGATGGGCTTTGGGTCTCCATTCCATACCCCGCCTCATTCACATTGATATGATTTTTTTGTTCTGGGTCTTTAATGCCTGATGCCTGATCCCATCGACACCTCATGTTCACACAGGCTGGTGTGCTTCTTCTGTGTCGGCTTTGTTGTTTCCAACTTTTTAAGGAAGTGTCATACCACTTTCCACGGTGATTATGCAAGACGTCACTGTTTTTAAACCCAACTTATCAAACCTGTTTGTCTCCGCGTTTCCCTCATCAGGACCATCATATCGATTTCTCCTTACCTGTTGCCGAGGCACTGATCTGACTCGGGCTCATAGGGGCCCCATTGAACAGAGTGGAATGGTCCCCACAGACTTTCTAGCATGGTCATCCGTATGGAAAGAGACCACCACGCCCTCATCCTACAAAGCAGCCACATGCCTTACCACTGCCACCAGGGCTCCTTACGGATTTCTTAATGACTGTGTATTAAGGGAACATCGATTGGTTCCGTTCTGTGACGGCCAGTTGTTACAAAGCGGAGGGACTAGTGCTGATAGGACACCAGCGCAGCGGTTCTCAACCTGTGGGTCGTGACCCCTTTGGGGTTTGAAGGGCCCTTTCACAGGGGTCACCCAATTCATAACAGTAGCTAAATGACAGTGATGAAGTAGCAACGAAAATAATTTTCTGGTTGGGGGGTCACCACAACACGAGGAACTGTATTCAAGGGTCGCGGCATTCGGAAGGTTGAGAGCCACTGCTCTAGCGTAACAGATGGCAGGTGAAGGGGAGCAGACGTCAGGAGAACTGAAGGTCGGCTGTGTCAGCATGAAGAGGCCCCTCCCCGGTGAGAGTAGAGGTGAGAGAGGGGCTCGGAGGAGTACGGGAGGGGTTTTCCGACTCCGGAGGAGGCCTGAAATAGTTGTCTCTTCTAGAAGTGCCACCACTGTGCCATGTTGGTGCCCACTGGGAATCAGCTTGAAGTGAAACCCATCTCGGGTGGGTCTTCCTCAGGAACACTTAGCTGATGGTGGTAGGCATGGAGCACACAGATGACAGGGTCCCAGGCAGGGCCTCTGAGAACCAGGAGCTTGCTGCGTCCCTTCTGCCCGCACCACGCCTCTGCAGTGAGACTTTGCTAGACTTCAGATGGGGGCTTCTGCTGTTCCCAACCAAGTTTAAAAGCCATTGATTTCATACAGTCCTCCCTGAAGAGAAATTGCTTTTTCTTACCTTACAAGGCCAGTTTCGTTTCCCAGAACTAAATGTCTTGTTATTTCTCTCTTTTGGGGTCATTTCCAGAATTTGGTGTGTACTGCAGCCACTGCCGGAGTGAGGTCCGGGGCACACAGTGTGCCATCTGCAAATGCTTCACCTTTCAGTGCGCCATCTGCCACGTGGCAGTGCGAGGATCGTCCAACTTCTGCCTGACCTGTGGACACGGCGGACACACTAGCCACATGATGGAGTGGTTTCGGACCCAGGAAGTGTGTCCGACCGGGTGTGGATGCCACTGCCTGCTGGAAAGCACTTTCTGATCCGACAGACCCAGGAAGTGGTCAGAAATTCTAGAGGCCCTCCTCAGTGCCGGCGGGGCGACAAGCTATCAGCCAGGAGAGGGGTTCCAGGGCCTACCTCTGCCTAGCCTGAAGCTCCCCCAAAGGCTGGGGAACCAGTTTGCAGCGCCCAGGGCAGACCCAGCAACCATAGAGCCTACCTTCCCATATTATCTGCGTTGGTGAGCTAGTAAGACGAGGATGCTTTCTGGAAGAAAAGTTTCTGCCTCCAGAGCCAGGGTTCACCTCAAACCATCGAGCAGCGTCCCCTCGGGTGCCAGCGCAGAGACCAGAGTCAGGTGCTGAAGACAGTCCCTGGGACCAAAGGATAGCAGGTGTCAATTTAATTGACAAGTGGGCCCATTTGATGAATCGTGTGTGCCCTTTAAAAAATACATGTAAGTTATAAATATGTGATGTACTTAAGGATTCTTAAGATTTTGTTTTTGTTTTGTTTGTTCCCCTCCGCAGCTGCTGCCCCTTGGCTAATAAAATTCTAATAACTGCTTTTTTTAAAAAAGGAAGTTGAACAATTGAGTGGATCATTTCTTCCTCTACTTCAAATTCAAATGAGTTATTTTAGAGAGCACTGAAATTTCCTTTTGGCATCAGACAAGAGAAAGTAGAGCCTGACGTTCTAGGTTCTTCCCAACCCTGAGAATCTTATAATTATTTCTTTTAGCAAAAAGAAAATGAGATTGCAGTGCAGCGCTGGTAGACGTCTCTTGTTGCCTCTGTGCAGGTTGGCTGGGCTCCAGTAAGTACTTTCCCCTCTTTGCTCGAGCATCCAACATGTTACCCTGTGCTTTATTCTTGTTCCCTGTGCCCACCAGTTCTTCAAAATGTTCCATTGCGTCCCCGAAATTTTGTGTGACACGGAATCGGCATCTTCTCTTTAAAATCCCCAATTGACATTTCTGGTTCTCTTTTAGAATTTTACAACCCCAAATAGACTGACTTAAGAAATATAACCATCTGTCCCCAAAATGTGAAAACACTGTACCTCACCGGTGTTTCAGACTGCTTATTGTGACCCATCAATAGATGGTGAAACCAGTCCTACAGATCAAATGCTATTATATGAAGGAGAGTGGAAGAGAAATTATCAGAACGGACCATATGCATGTTAACTTGTGTATAAGCACACGTTTGTATATGTATACTGGAACACAAGAGGAATTGGTTTTTACTGAAAATTGTAGCCTGAAACACATTAAAAATACTATTTTAAATGATGCGGGACCCCATCCCTATGCTACTGGACATGAAACACCGCAGTGTAAAGACAAAGCTTTAAATCCTGTGTTGTACGACCAGACACTCAGCCCTGGGCTCTGGCTTGAGTTAAGATGCCAACACTTATGTGAGCGGAGTAACTCGGAACACAAGGTACGTTATTGTTGTTAGGTGTCACGGCGTCAGTTGCGACCCCATGCACAACAAATGAAACACGCCACCCTCACGGTTCCTGTCCTGGAGCCCATGGTGGCAGTGACTGTGCCCATCTGTCTTGTTGAGGGCTTTTCTCACGTCCAGAGGGGAAGCTGATAAAGAAGGGAGGCCAAAGGACTGTGTTCGCCCGGTGCTCTCCACTCACGGAGCATTGAGGCGCCTGGGAGATTGACTAGTTGACTCAGATGAAAGACTGCTAGTGTATTCCTCAATGACGTTTTGTTGTTGTTGTTGTTTTCTGGTGGAGAATAGCCTTTTCTTATTCCCTCATGCTCAAGTGAGTGTAAAACTTTCCCTCACTGTCCCCATTAAGAATGAGATGCTTTTGTTGCATTAGCTTAGTATGATGGGCATCTTGTTTTCTGGAACAGAAAATTTCTTGATTGCATAACATTGTCCTTTTTCAATATGTGAATTTCCAAGTTACTGGGAGAAAGAAAGTTAATATTTCTAAAAACCTTTGGAAGCGTTGATCTGGTTGCCAGCCTTGGTCTGCCGTGCCTCATGGAGAAGAGTAGGTTACGACAGGCGGTACGGCCTTGTTTTCTGGTGTATTTCTTTCATAGAAACAGCACAGGTTCTGTTCCCAGGCACTTTGTACTTGACGAGTAAAACAGGACTAGCAGCCTTATTGGAGCACCAGAAGCAAAAGGTTGCCCAGGAGCTCCGATGGCAAGCATGGGAGTAAGGGTGGGAGTGGAAAGGTATGCCTCTGGGCAGTCACTACCTTAATGGTGTGCCCCTGACCCGAGGGCCCCCAAAGCACAAACAGTGTAATACTTTCCTTGGTAATGACATAAATGAATTCAATCCCTCCTCCCCCATTTGATTTCCCCAATTTCATCTAATATAAAAATGCATTCCGTCTAAAGAAGCCCATTTACAAACTAGGAGCTCCTTTCAGTATTCAGTGGTTCCCTAAGTGGTTGGTGGTTGACAGGATTTAGGGGGAAAAACCATCCTTTTCAGTGGCTTACTATAATGCAGCTGGACCTTAGTGGGGAAAGCGGCTCATTCGCTGGGTCAGGATACAGACGGGGCTGCCCTGTGGGGAGCGCTTCAGTGTTCTCTGTGCCACAAACCCGTTTTCTTGGTTTGATTTTGCTGGCAGTGGAGACATAATTCAGGAGACATGGTTGTAAGTAACTCTCTACCAACTAGCTTGCCTGTTAATATCTCCAAGCTGGAGCCGGCCATGGGGATACAGAGCCACACGCAAAGGATAGCCTCAGGGAATCAAGCAGAAATCCGAGTTACCTCGCCTCCGGAGGATCTGTATGTCCTCCTCAGAATCAGAAATCCATTTTGGTGTTTTCCTCCTATTACATTGGCAGCATCTATGTCTCCCTTGATTGGGTCTGCTTTTCTGAGCTCTAAGGAGGACTGATTTTGCCCACCAGGAGTTTAAGCACTTGGGCAAAGAGAAACTGTACAGAATGCAGTCATGCCTGTCTGGAACACGAGGCTCATTGAAAAATATACGTATTTACATAAATGCTTAAACTGCCATGTGCTATTTATTGGCTTCCCAGGACAGAAAAGAATGAAGTAGCTACTAAGGTCAAAGACTGCATGAAGAAAGGGATTTGGCTGAGTTTGAAGAATGAGGTGGTGCACTTTGGGTCAGGAAGAACAGGGAGGCGCAGGAACACAAGGATGGAGATGACAGCATAGCATTTGGGTGCACTCTGTCAGTAGAATACCATAAAGACATTTACTTGGGTTTGTTGACTATGTATAGACTTTCAACTATGTAAAAGCCAAGGGAGTACAGTGGTTTGAAGAGGACTCTCCCCATGACCCTTCAGGGCAAGCATGGTCCTGGTGACACCTTGATTTCAGATTTTTGAGAGAATGACATTTTTTAAAAAATCATCTAGTTTGTGTGAATTTATAGCAGCCTTACAGCCCTAATTAGAAGCCTTGGTGGTGTGGGGGGTTTCGTATTGGGCTGCCAAACACAGGGTCAACCATTTGAAACCACCCGCCTCTCAGAGATAGGAGGCTTTCTACTCCTGTAAAGATTCACAGTCTCAGGAACCCACAGGGGCAGTTCTGCCCTGGGATTTCCAGGCTTGCTGTGAGTCAGAATGGACTCGTTCCAGTGGGCCTTAAAACACAAAATTAGGGAAAGATCTAAAGAGAAAACGATTAGGTAGATCTATTTTCTCATCAAACTCTGCCCTTTGCTGTCGTGGTTTACTATCTCGGAAGCTGGTCTCACCTCCAGTGCTTTCATTGACGGGAAGGTTCGCTGGCATGAACTGGTTTAAGCTGCTTTATTCCCAAACCAGAAGTTGACACTGCCTTTAAGTGCCTGGGTGGGGCCAAATATTACTACTCCTTTCACTCCCCTTTTCCACATGGAGATCAGAAATAGGAGAGAGGAGGGAAAGAGCAATCTTGGTGTCCACTGTCCAGATTTCTTTCTTACCTGGAAAACATCCCAGCAACGAATGTCCTTGCTCGTGTTTATAAGGCTTGGCCAATCTATTTTAAAGGTATCAAGCTTCCCCCCTCCCCCTCTTATACCAATATCTTGCTACAGAATTTAAACATTTGTTCACTACAAGTAGAGAGTGTTTGTAAAAACAAACTCACTACCATGGAGTCCATGCCAACTCATAGTTAATTCTATAGGACAGGGGAGGTCCTATAGGTCCTGTGGGTTCCCGAGACTGTAATCCTTTACAGGAGCAGAAAGCCCTGTCTTTCCCCTGAGATGATTTTGAACTGCTGATCTTGAGGATCGCAGCCCCAACGCATAACCACTACACCACCAGGGCGCCTAATACAGGGCACAGTCTTTATTATTTCCTCTCGTAGCCAAAGACTTTGATAGAATCGGGAATACTGAAAGCCCAGGGTGTGATTTTTTGGAGCACGGAGAATCTTACACATTCATAGGTTCATTGCCCATCTTAATTTGGCCTACCTCGCCTTTTCGGAAAAATTAATTACCGTGTTCAGCGCCCATCGCTGGCAATGAAGAATTTCCATTCGAGAGTCCATGATCCAGGATAAAGTGTAAGGAACCTGCTTTTTGCTGCTCGCTGGATTGTTCCAGAGCCCCCAGGGGGCGATATCTTCCACCTTGGGAAACATTTATAGAACAGCTTCTAGTTTTTAAAACCAAGAAGTTATCGACACTAGCTGGCAGCAGAGGACCAGATATGTGCAGTTGCTTGCTTTGCCTCTAAAGATCCCCAGTAAAATGAGCGGTAGGTTAAGGGTTCATTCAGACTAGTCTATACCTGTTTATCTAGTTGTGAAACTGAAGAACTGGGGGTGG